ATATTAGGAAGGGAGTCAGACAGGGATGTACACTGTCACCGCTGCTTTTTAATGTATACATCGAAGACGCAATCAATATCATTAAAGACAATACAGCTGTAGGGATAGGTATACAGCGACAAAAAATTAGTATGCTTAGATTTGCAGATGATATAGCAGTATTAGCATCTATAGCAAGGCAGCGGTCAGACAGAACAGTACTGCATGAAAATAAATAAAACTAAAATACTGGTATGCAAGGGAAAAAAAAGTAGGGAAAAAGCGAATATAAAGATAGGAGACGAAAAATTGGCTGATTTTAGATATTTAGGAAGTCAGAGAAGTCAAGACGGAAGGAATAGTAGGGATATAAAGCAGAGGATAGCGCAAGGCCGTGTCGCCTTTAATAAAAATAAATCACTTCTGTGCTCGCGAACGGTTAATTTAGAAATTCGAAAAAGACTGTTAAAGGTTTATATTTGGAGCGCGACGTTGTACGGGTGCGAAACATGGACAGTGGGCGCGGCGAAAAAAAAAAGGTTAGAAGCCTTCGAAATGTGGTGTTATAGAGGATAACGTGGGTAGAAATGGTTAGAAATGAAGAGGTATTAGAAAGAATAGGAGAACACAGGACTCAATGGAAGTCAATTAAAAATAGGAGAGATAGATTGGTAGGACACCTTCTCAGGCATGAAGGTCTAGTCAGAGACATATTAGAGGCAGAAACAGGAGTTAGGAGGGGTAGAAATAGACCTAGGTTAGATTACTGTTCGCAAATAGTTAAGAATGTGGGTTGTTCTAGCTTTAGGGAAATGCGATGTTTAGCTCAGGATAGGAAAGAGTGGAGGTACGTGTCCAACCAGTCTTAGGACTGACGACCTTATGATGATGATGATGATGGGTCTACTCATCATTTCCTCTTAACAACGTTCTCAAGTATTCTCTTAACTTTTACTTCAAATATTTTGGAATTTATCACAAGTAATCCCACCCCTGAATTATTGTAATATATCTGCATCTCAAAGGATTTATTATAAAATAGGTAACTGTATCATGAATATAAAATAAACATTGGCCACTAGTGTACAATAATCATTTATTATAGCTATGTTCTCTACTCCATTGCTCATCACCTTCTTGGCTTTTTTAATATCATTCGTCAGTCAACTGTCAACATCATTTTGTTCTTCCTCTTCTTTCGTAGTTACGTCCTTCCGTTTAACACTAATTTGTTTTTTGACGGATATGATTAGAATCATACGGTTACGGTAGGAGAATATAACACTCAAACTCACGTTAATACAAGTGTTGTCTTTGCCGTATATTTCCTTTTATTTGTAGAAACAACTATTATAATATGTAATACGTAACCGCGTCGAACATATAGCCAAAACACCAGCGCAAAATTGAAGTGAATACCCTTTTAAGAAAACTATGCGCACCTTTAGAATTAGACGACATATTCAAGTGTAATCGTATGGAATCGGAATACTCGAACTATGGATAGACGCTGATGTCTCTGTGATCGCCACCTTGGTGATTGTCGCCACAGCAACGCACCAGCATATTAGCGTAAATATTCTTAGTACAATTATTGTTGATTGGATTAAATGTAAATCGATTCTTTTCAAAACACTTGGGCATTTAAAAGTAAAAATTATGAGGACGTAGGTATGTGTCGCAATAAAAAAGGCATGGCATCTGTACTAAATTCACCACAATGTCCACAACACGTGTTTTTGGCAATTCGGGAAAGTTTTACCACATCCTTAGATACTTAACGCAAACAACCTCTACTTTTTGTTTGTAAAAGTTGGGAGTCTGTGTTTGTGGTTACATCTTTATCTATCTGTGAAAAAAGTATGTTGCAGCAATAAGCACATAAAATTCGATTGGCAACTTCTTTCGCACGTTGCTCCATGGGTTCGGCGGATAAATAGGGCGCTTTTTGTACCAGGCTTCTGCAGTGATAAAACTATGTTGAACAGCCGAAAGCGCCGTAGATGTCGGATAAATTTAGTTTAGTGTCTTTTGGTGTTAATATTATTAAAATACGAAGAAAACACTAACAATAACAAATAACAATTTATGTTCAACAATAACAAACGAAAACACAAGTAACAAAAAGGCAGAAGGAGAATGAAACATACATACAAGAACAGTGACAAAAAGAACAACAAAATAATACAACAATAACAAAGACAACAAAAATGTAAACAATAGAGAATAATAGGAGTACTTACGAACGATGGTAGAGGCGGTAGACGGGAGACTGTCTTAAGATATGACTTTTTCAGAGTATTTATAGGATAGGGTTTTTAGTAGATTTGATAGAATATTGTAAAAGGAAAAGTAGTGAAAGACAGAGGGTAAAGACACTGGTTTATAGAAATACATAGAGTTAAGAAGTATAGAGTTCAAGAGAAAGCAATTAAGGGTAAAACCAGATATTAGTAAGAGAGTACATGCAGGTATGGTTGAAGTTGGAATTCTAGGTAAAAGTAGAAAATACCACAAATGGCGTGGTGAGCGCCATCTATAGTATGATGCTACATTTTAGGATTACGTATGCTCCAGCAAGCTCCATTTAAAAATATGGATATCTACTTGCTGAAACGAATCCCGGCGTAGCTCACCTCAACGTGATAGGCACGTTACCATAATCGAACAAAATAATTCGAAATGGTCTGTGTTCCTTGTAGCATCATACTACAGATGGCGCTCACCACGCCATTTGTGGGATTTTCTAAAACGGGCTGTTAAGACAGCAGGTAAAGGTTGGTCTGTATTCTGTCGGAGCTGCCTGCGACGCGCTGATGAGATCCAAAAAGATCGAAATCGCGATCCGCGTCTGGCAGTTTCGATAGAATACAGACCACTTCGAATTATTTTGTTCGATTATGGTAACGTGCCTATCACGTTGGGATGAGCTACGCCGGGATTCGTTTCAGCAAGTAGATATCCATATTTTTAAATGGACCTTGCTGGAGCATACGTAATCCTAAAATGTAGCATCATACTACAGATGGCGCTCACCACGTCATTTGTGGTATTTTCTAAAACGGGCTGTTAAGACAGCAGGTAAAGGTTGGTCTGTGTTCTGTCGGAGCTGCCTGGGACGCGCTGATGAGATCCAAAAAGATCGATATAGCTATCCGCGTCTGGCAGTTTCGACGGAACACAGACCATTTCGAATTATTTTGCTAGGTAAAAGTGATTGACAGAACAACAGAGTTTAGATTGAAAAGAAACCAAAGTATGCACAAGATAAGAAATTAAAATGAAATAAATTTGAATGAAGAATATTTAGAAAATAATATTTACACAAAAAATATACATTTTTCCGCCACATTAGTAACTAAAGTTGCGATATGTCTTTTACATTGTGACAGATATGTCCTCATATTTTTCTCTTTTAAATTTAAATAATTGTAAACAATATTTTATTACTTTGATGATAAATTATCCTAATAGAACCAAGAATATAATGCGCATATGGTAACCATTCACAAAGATGATTATTTTTATGTATCAGTACAGTGGTTTCTGTAAAAAATAATTTGTTGGAACTCTGTATATATGCTAATTTTGTAATCGATTTTCGATGTCAGTAGTACATTTAATTCTGTTATAATTTGTGTTTTGTTGTATCAACAAAGAAACGCTCAATGTTGCTATAAAACGTCCTAAATTAAATTTGATTGTCTTACTTTAACATGTAATAAGTCAAAGGTGTGATTATAATACCAATTTTTCCATAGTATTCATGGCAAAAATAGTTTCTCAAAGCTGTCTGTAGTACCTATAGTTAGGACGTTCAAAATAGGCATAATCGGCAATGAAACCATGACATTTACTTTCTTCTTTTAAAGCTGTAACTAACTAGACTATAGCGGTTCCTGGCAGAACGCCTACTTTTACTCACGATAGACGTTGTAGGAAATATCGCAAACATAGAAGAGATGTCAGAAAGGAATTGCAGCGGACACTAATAAAGAGATGCGGACAAGTAGGATTTGACCATATTACCAGTATCGGACTTTAATGAAAGTTCATCATTCTCAAGAATTTAGGAAAGCAAAGACGCTTGTTTAAAGTTATAATTGCAACAGTTATAAAGCCGACCTTGATCTTTTGCGTACCTAAACAACCTCTAACCATTGCACCGTTTGCTATTATTCAGTTATCTCTTTTCACATTGTATGCGGTACTCATGAAGCATTTCCTATCTTAACAAATGCGTGGTCAAAACGCAACAAATGACTACAGTCCCATGTGGAAACAAGAAGGATGATACGTTCATTCTCACAGGTAATTTACTGCGAACTTTGTCCTTCTATACTTTTTAGATTTGTCATTAAGTAATAACAACTAATCTTTCTAATTATAGTCAGACGGTACAAAACGTTTGGAACAAATTCGAGATTCACATTAATTATCCGATCTATAACACAGATTTTTCCAAATGTCTCTAATCTTTTTATTACTCGAAAAGCTAGAAAACATTAGCTAAGTCCTTTTGAAACACATTAAATTAATTAACAGAATGAAACCTAACACAACACATCTCATCGAGCTTGGTTTTTACTTTACCGACACATCGACCACAATCTACAATATTCGCACTTTTTGCAGTAAAACTTCGCAAAAATGTGATTTTGCGATAATCTAANTTATTTAGAGAAATATGCATCTGTTTAAAAATTTGTAACCTATTGTAATAACTTTTCAAATTATTTTGTATTGATTTTCAGTATGACTGCATAAGTCTTTCATATACGTCAAGATCTACGTAAGAGCTACAAAGTTACAGATGCCTAAACATTCAAACCACAATCTACAATATTCGCACTTTTTGCAGTAAAACTTCGCAAAAATGTGATTTTGCGATAATCTAACTAGATAAATAAAAAAATAACTTGTAAATTATCTTTCTCTGTTATAGACCGAAATATAAGAAAACAATTTGCATTTAGACTAGAAAAACAGGTTTTAAAAAATATACACAGTAATGTAGTAACTTACCCAGGAATTATCACACTCTTTTCCCATCTGTATCTCATTTCTTGGTAAAATTCAAACCATAATTGTGCCAATGATCTTGGTCCTCCCAAAGTATTCTGAGCTTGTGCTAATACAATGGCCAATCGAGTCACTAGCGAGTCGGAATTGCAGGTTTTAAATCCTTTAGACAAGTTTTCAATAGTGGAAGTCTAAAGAAAATTCAGCATTACTAAAGTGCAGTGATGTAAAATATATTATTTAGGTACCTCATTTAACTTAACAGATTGCTCTGTATATGGAAAAGTTGAAACCTCTTCAGCATCAGGAAACAAATAATAAAGGAGTGGCACAAGCACTTCTTCTGCTAAAGGTGCAGCAGAGCTTTTGCTTCGTGCACTTGTCAATGAATTTCTAGCAGCTCGTTTTAACACAGTTGATATAGTTGGAACTTTCGGTTCTGTCAATAAATCTAATGGATTGCTACTCTCAGTTGTTGATGAAGTAATAAAATCTCCCAGAGTATCACAAACAGTTGCAGAACTATTGATTAAAGACAAAAAATCACTCAAGCATTCTGACAGTAGACAAACGGGTGGTTCAGAGAACAATGATAATAAAGACCATTTTTGAGCTTGTAAAGGATCAAAATCAGTGTAATTCTCTGAATCAACTACTAAATGTTCTTGTAGATTTAACCAAGAACACTTTATTTGCATAGCACTGATAGGTTCATAAGACACACCAAATGGAAGTGCACATAAGCCATTTTCATAATTTTCAGATTCATAATCCAATACTTTATACCTCCAAGTAACATTCCCAAACTCGTTCAAAGTATATGTAAACTGCACAGATATAACAACAGGATCCAATGATATTGGAGACATAACTTTTGTTTTAAACAGGTCTAACAAACCAGTGAGATACTGGCAATGTTGAGGACCTTTTTGTAAATGAATCATATCAAAGTTTGTTCTTATATTATCCACTTCACAGACACCTAAATAACATTTTTGCCACTTTTCTCTTATTTGCACAAATAATGGTGTACTACAGCTCGTATTACCAATGGCAATATTTAAGGAACTTAACAGGATTTTAATTTTACTCTCAGACGTTATTCCTTCGTTTTTAACTGACGATAGAAGCATAAACCGATTTAAACCATACCATATTGGTATACAAAACTCAGCATTTAATTCTACCCCATCATCAAGAATGAAATTGTGCTCTGAATGAAGCGGATGTTTTATTTTAAAGTTACCTTCTTCATCTCCTTGTTTGTCTAAAATGCTTGTGTTTTTATAATATGAAAACGTAAATTCTGTGTCTACAAAGTATATTCTATCGCTCTTAACACTCCACACTCCCTGAGGAGAGGGCTGCAGTACTTCCGCATTAGACTTTACGTCTTCGTTACTCCAGTCATGAATAATTTCTTCTAATCTTGCAATAAAGAGTTCCCAATCTGAAGCAGTGGTAAAATCCTGGTGATAAAACTCCGATTCATCAATTTCTTCATTCATATTTACAATTATAAGATTAAGGTTAAATTTACTCTATGGGCCTGGGGTGTCGACTCTCCCATAGATAATAGGATTCTCCTGTCAAAAATAGTCCACATTAAACTTGGCAGGTGACGGTCTTTGCAGCGTTTTTTTGTAAAATGGGTTGCATAATAAAAACAGCATACGTTCATTAAAAATATTATCATAACTTTTATTTGCACTGGAGTGATTAGAGTTGTTTACCTTCAAAAGAAGTTCTTATTAAAATTGATAATGATAATAACAATGATTTATAATGCCTCTCATTGGAGGATAAATTGGGAAGTAGCAGTAATCGTTTAAAAGTCGCCACATAAAACGATTTAACAAGTCATCAACTCCTGCTTCGGCAACTTTCAAATTTCTATATGTTTTTTTTTGTCGATTCACCAACTTTATTTGATTAACACCTTTCAAATTTCCGATGAGGTACCTAGGTAACTCTTTAAAAGTACGACATATACATGCAGATTTAGATATGTATGCATGCGTACCTAAAAAGGATAACAGATAAAGGTACCTGATAAACCAGAAAACAATAAATAAATCACATAATATGGCGTATGTAAAGGTACCTATTATTCTGTTGTACTCCCGTTTTTTTATGTTGGGGTATTTTCTAAAAAAAACAAAATCTGTACAACTTCGAAGATGATACTAGAAAAATGTATTGCTACTGTCATAGATATTGTGCATGATAAACATAATAAAATGGGTTAAGTCAGCAAGAAGGGCGATTGAACATTATTAACTTTAATAATTTATTAATTTTACTTATATTACTTAGGTAATATTTTTCATATTTTTTCACCCTCCACATGATAACTTTTGTTTCAATGTGAAATCAGTATTTAAACAGACAATTAAAGATTATATTAGCGTAGTGTCGCATCAGTTCCAAAGACCAGCACGCGTTTTGATTCGTTTGAAGAGACGCCAACAATCAATGCGAACTCGGTTGTATTACAATAATATAAAGTTCAAATTCAAATTACTATGTTCGCACGCGACATTTTCAAAAGCGCGTTGATCCAGTGGATTTATTGTCTGAGTAAACATGTAAAGTACATATATAAAATAAGTAGGCTTTTTTTTTGATTAAAATATTATTGGTAAGTATTGATTATTTATTAGTACCTATGGTTATTACCTACAGTAGACTCATTATCCTCTCAAAATTCACATTAAAGTTCTCCGATCTATGATACAGATTTTTCCAAATGTTACTAACCCTTATATTACCCGAAAAGCTAAAGAATATTGGGTAGGTCCTTTTTAAATCCCTTAAATTGATTATCAGAATGACAACAAAACACAGCACATCTCATCGTTAAGCTTTGTTTTTATCTTACCGATACAAGCATTTATTATTGTAGGTACATAATTTGAATCACGACTCCCATCAAATATTAAATAAATAAAAAACATTCCGTTAATTACTATTACTGAAGTCAGCTGAAGTTATTTACTCTCAAGTTGACGTAGCAACAGTCCCGCCCATCCTACGTGAAATCCTATGTTAGCTTTATTGTATGTACCGTATATCTATAAATTATATACCATACGGAGTGTACTCATGTAATTAATAAAATTACAATTACTTATCCAGTGGGCACTAATTTGCCTATTAATGTTTACGTAACGTTAATTTTCTTTCTTTTGTGTTCTTAATGTTACGTTGAGGTGTACTTTATATAGTGATGTATTCTATCAGCGATGAACAAAGTTGTTTAATTGTTTTTTCTCGTAATGAACATATGTTGCTGATTCACGTCCATGACCGGCTTCGGATTGTAACTTCTTTTGGTTCTCTTAGAATTTTTTTTATCCCTTAATAACGCTGCTTTACTCACCTTGCGATTCCCTATTGCATCTTCTTAACACCCTTCAAAGCTTGCCACTTAGTTCAGAAACATTAGGCATATTCTTTAGCAGACTGAAATGATAGGGTGAGGTTACTTCACGAGTGTTGTCTTTCCAACCGCAACCGTATCCTAAGCATATCGATATATTGATAGTTATCGGTAGTTATAAATATATAAATAGTTAATTTAAAATTAACTGGAAATTAACAAATTTTTTTATAACTGTTGTTACCTATTGTCAAGCATTTTGAGTAAGAACTACTATTGCACTCACTGTCTAGAGAACGGAGTTATTGTAGTGTCAATATATGTTGTAACTTATAGTAGTAGAGGCATTCGGACTTTGAGATTGATTTTCTCATGTAGTGCCTTATTGCAGTAGATGCATTTGGACCATAAATCTGATCTTTCCATGTAGTGACTTGCTTTATGTACTTCGGTTCATTTTGTGATTTCGTCAAAGACGTTGGGCTTATGCCGTAATCATTATCGCACATTTGAATAGATCAGCGCGATTATTTCCACTATGCGTGGAGTACGTGAAAGCAATAATGATATCAAGTGGTTACAGATTCCGTTCGTAAGAGTACTTGCAAGATCGGACTTGGTATAATCGGTCATTCAAATCATTGCCAAATAGAATATTAATTATTTAGATCATTTTTAAGTAAAAACAAGTTATCGGTAAACAAACCTCTTAAAAAGTTCCTAAAAGCAGATCTAAATTTAAAACACTCGTTGTTGCAAACATTATATATTTACTAACAAAGATTTTCTTGGTACTTAATTACTTACATAAAATATAATAAAATATTGTATGCTATTATTATACATTAAATAATAACTTCAGGCAAAAGTACGTAACTATAAGTACAATAATTTATTATATGATTCTTTAAGTGCTGAAATTTATTATATTCTTACAAAAATAACCATTACGAAGTCAATATGGATTTATATTATTTATATGATCAGCTATTTTAATTCGTAAGTTGATAAATAATTGGAACTGCCTGCGCACCTTCCAAAGCCCTTAAAAAACATTTAAAAAGCTAATATCATCCAGATACACATTCATTAGTAGTTAAGGCGGCCTTGTTTTTGTATACAAAAAACAACTTTAGTTAGAACAAAGGCAGCATTGCGCTGTACACTCTAAGCGATTGGTTTTTCTTCAGCAATTGGCGTTGTTACTATGGATCCTGATCGAGACTTTGGCTGGTCATCTAGGCTCTGCATGGAGCTCGAACGAGATGCAACCTTGGTCTACAATCAACGAAACAAAATCACAAAAAAAGCAAAAATGAAAATTTGAAAGTCTAAGGTAATTTAACATAAAAAACTCGACGCCTACTGATGTATATTAACAGATCTTTGTATGCATACAAAAGTGTATGTTTTATGAATTTGTCTTTTCGTTAATGACTGTAGAAGTCAGCCGTTTTTCGTGGAATAGTTTTGCTCTGAAAGTGCTCCATATTAATCTTATGAAAAATGTGTCAAACTTTTGTATTCAATTTCTGTGTAAATAACCATATTACTTGTACTCTTCTTTAATCCCTTTTGACATTTAAACTACTACGAGTGCTACTACTAACCGCATGACGTCTGTACGTCTAATTCCTCCCTAGTTCCAATTACAATTGTAGAATATATTTCTTCGGTTATTTGGTGTTTTATGTCCAGAAAAAAATAAAATATTAATTTTTCGCTCTAGAATATTTTTTAGAATGCGACAGTTATACACACTACCATTTGTAGAAAAAAAAATGTAAAAATAATAATCTGAATTGTTAAATTTATAAGATTTTGTTCAAAAATTTCATAAAAATTAAATCGTTGAAATCCGTCCTTTTCTTTAAATTTCCCTTAACCTCTCTATCCCACTGCCACTTTCATCCACCATCTACCTACATTCATCCATTCCTTCGTTCTTAATTCATTCTCCCAAAACATACAGCAGAGGAATAGGTCGAAAAGTGTATTTCATACCACTAGGTGATTATAAGGTATCCCTATCCAGAAATATTTTTTTGTAGTTTTTTTGTTTATTTGGCATCAAAAAATACCCATAACCCCAAATTTCCACTCTCCTACCTCCACTTTCCCATTTTTTAATTGCAATTTAAGTTTTTTTTAACGAATAATATCAAAATAATTTAACCATCGTTCGTATTTGAAACAAAACGAAAATATTTATGTTATTGGTTGACTGATTGCTCTAATGTTGATTTCATTATTTCGTTTTCCTACTTTTAGAGAAAACATATATTATTTATTTTCACTTTACATTTAACTTTTAAGAGATCAAACAAAAAATATGTCGGTTACGTTAATGATATACACTGAATTGAGAAAATGAATGGTTGCTGTTTTTTTTTTTTTCGTTTTTATCGGCGGTCATCGTCTACAGCACTCCATTCCCCTTTCCTTCCTAGAACCTTCCCCACACACAATAAATTCGTTATTTTTTATTTAAAAACCAAAATATTCACAACAAATATAAATTATTAGGAATTATTATCCAAAGCTGTCATGGTAGAAATTAAATGAAACTGAAAAATTACTATTCACAAATATCGCAATTTAATTATGCCAATAATACTGTTAGGAGGCGTTATACGTGGAAAATGCTAGGTGATTTAGGGAGATATCAGTTAGATTACATAATTGTTAGGCAAAAATTTAAAAATCAAGTGAAGGACTGTAGGAGTTATCCCGGAGCAGATATAGATAGCGATCAATCTTAAATTGAAAATTCTGAAATAGAGGGAAGGTAGACGTCTTGGGAAAAGCTAAAATGTAACGAAACGCGTAATTAGCTAGGTACAAGGACAGATGAAATATTAAAAGCATAGGCAGAAACGAATGACAAGGACATAGAGACAGAATGGAACTGCATTAAAACGTGCGTAAAGTCAACAACTACAGATATACTAGGTCTTAAACAAAACGAAAGTAGAAACCCTAAATAACAAGGGAGATTGGAGGATTAATAGAAGAAAGGCAGAAATACAAAAACAGGACAGACGAAGAAGGGTAAAAAGATATAGGGCTATAAAGTGGTAAATTATTATGAAGATGATTGATATGAGTAAAGAAGTAGAAGAAAAGTTTCAAGAAGGTAAAACCAATGAGGTTTATAATATAATTAAAAGGAATCTTAGAGATGTAGGATACAATAGTAATAAAATAAGAAACGAAGCAAGGGCCATTTTGATAAAAAATGGTGAAAAGGCAGATAAATGGAAAGAATATTTAAAGAACCTATACACAGGCCATGAATTAGGATATATTACAGATGGAAGATAGGTGAGCTAGGCTATCCTATATTAAGAGAAGAGTTCAATATAGCATTAAAAAGCTTAAACAATAATAATGCGCCAGGTATAGATGGGATACAGGGGGAAATTGTAAAACATGCAGGACAAGAGGTTAGAGATCGTATGTTTAAGCTAGTTAGTCACATTTACGAGACAGGGACAGTCCAAGAGGATTATAAACGGAACGTAGTAGTAACCAAACTAAAAAGAGGGGCGCGGATAGATGCGCAACATTTAGAACAATTAGCTAACTTCCCATGCGTCAAAAATCTTAACCAAAATTGTACAGAGGAAGATGAAAAAAGGGAGGAAGAACTATTAACAATAGAGAAAACGATAGAAAAGGGGAAGAATCCGTACATAGGATTTGTAGATTTAGAAAAAGCTTTTGACAACTTTAAATGGGACAAGATGTTAAATATCCTTAAAAATGTAGGGATAAGTTACAGAGATAGAAGAATGATACTTAGTTTGTATAAAGAGCAACAGGTGCTTATAGAGCTGGTGTTGCAACGTAGAGAAATACCAACATAAGAAGGGAGTCAGACAGGGATGTACACGCTGTCACCGCTACTTTTTAATCTATATACAACGTAGACGCGATCAACATCATTAAAGACAGTACAACTGTAGGGACAGATATACAAGGGCAAAAGTTTTTAATGCTTAGATTTGCAGATTATATAACAATATTAGCAAATAGCAAGGCGGAGTTAGAGATAGCTTTAAATAAAATGGAAGCAGTATTGACAAAACAGTACTGTATGAAAATAAATAAAAGTAAAACAAAAATACTGATATGCAAGGGAAGAAAACGTAGGGAAAGAGCGAATATAAAGATAGGAGACTAAAAATTAGAAGAAATGGCTGATTTTAGGTATCTAGGAAGTCAGATAAGTCAGGACTGAAGGAGTAGTAGGGATATAAAGCAGAGGATAGGGCAGGGTCGAGTCGCCTTCAATAAAAAGAAGTCACTTCTACACTCGCGAACGGTTAATTAAGAAAATCGAACAAGGTTGTTAAAGATATATGTTTAGTGCGCGACACTGTACGAGTGCGAAACATGGATTGTCGGCGCTGCCGAAAAGAAAAGGTTACAAGCGTTTGAAATGTGGTATTACAGGCGAATGATAAGGATACCGTGTACAGAGAAAGTTAGAAATGAAGAGATATTAGTAAGAGTAGGAGAACAGAAGACTCTATGGAAATCAATAAGAAATAGGCTGGATAGATTGGTAGGACACCTTCTCAGGCATGAAGGTCTAGTCAGAGATATATTAGAGGCAGAAATAGGATTTAAGAAGAGTAGAGGTAGACCTACGTTAGATTACTGTTCGCAAATAGTTAAGGATGTGGGTTGTTCTAGTTTTAGAGAAATGCGAAGATTAGCTCAGGATAGGAAAGAGTGCAGGTGCATGTCCAACCAGTCTTAGGGCTGACGATCTTATAATGATGATGAATAATACTGTCGCTAATTAATTAATTTACATTACAGAAAAAGATAATAGATGTACAGCATACAAGAACAAAAAAGCTAATGAAAGGTAATTTTCTCTTATCAACCGACAATTATTTGCCATTCAAAACAGCTAATTTAAATTAGAACATTATCATTACCTTAACATTTTCAAATGCCGATTCCACTTTCTCTTCTATAGAACGAAATGATTCGGAATGACGCATTTGACCCAATTTATTGGTGATGCTTCCAGTTATTCCACCAATAACTGAAGAAGTCTTTTGGTATCTATAAAAAAGTATTACATGAAAAAATTAAAATCAAATGATTCAAAGTAATAAAATTAATTTTATAAAGTTAAGATGTTTGTTAATTACTTAATTGAAAAGGAACAAAATATAAATTACTTCAAACATAGTAGTAAACATCATAAGTAGAAAATTTCTACAATAAAATAATCAAGAGTCGATCAAGGGCAAAAAAGATTTATTAAAACAAAACCAGCACTATAAAGAAAAACTTGAGTGCTAATCTGCGTATAACATTTATTTTCGTCAACTATAGTTCACCTCTGACCAATGTCTTAAAATAAATGTTAGAACAATTGCCTGAAGAGGTCAACTATAGTTAAAATATATATACATAAAATATTAACATATAAATAAATGTTAAACCCAGATTACCACTCAAGTTTTTCTTTATTCCATTTCCTGGGTAAGGTTTTTATATTATTTATTATTATTCATAAAACCAGCACTTGTTTGTGCACAATATGATTTTCTGTAAGCAATTTTGCATGAGCCATTCCACCTCGCGCGATTTATGTATGTCAAATTTTCGAACATTATTAAAGTTCAAAAATCAAAAGAATGTATATCTCATTTTATTTTTTTAACACTCATAAGTTATCTTAAAATGCAAACAAACAATTACTCCTATGTCCGAGCGTTCGCCAAAGGCAGCAATCGAGGAGCGACTGTTAGAAAAACAAGCAGCATAGGGGAATCTAGAAAGCTGGGAACAATCTAGCCGACTGTCGCGCACTTTATTTTCACTAATTGCAGTTTTTGTTTTCTCTTTTAACAAATTGAACCACATCTGTTTAAACTGCTCCAATAAGTATGCTAATAATTATATATATATATATTTTATGAAATTATTAACGATTCAGAATGACACTAAAAAATTGTACCAAGTTATTATAAAATAATTTACTAATTTAGCAGTAGATCACAAATGTGGAAGCCGGCTGCCTTATGAAATTTCACCAACATGAATGTAAAATTAGTGCCCATTGTGCTTGACATACTACGCAGTTTACTTACGACTTCACCTGCGTATGCTTTACTCTTTCATTCATGTAAACCATCCGTCAATAAGATTTGAGTCGATTTTGGAAATTTCTCCTACATTCAAACAAATGGCAGACTACAAAAAGTTGTTCAAAGATACTATTTATTTTTGCTAATTAAAATAGATTTTTCAATTTTCATTAACACTGCGGAATGTTTAAATACACCTATGTATATATTACGATTGTGAGTGTGATCCCTACAAATGATAATCTGTAACAGATTGTTCCCTTTTTTGTCATGAGCGCCTAGTCTACCATGCCTTTCTATGATAATATTACCCATTGCAGCATTCTTTAGATAAATATTTTACCATCTAATACTATAATTAACCTTGCAATTTACGATAAAAGTAATATAGATTTCAAATTGGTTTTAACAAAAAAACTAATACTTACAATGGAGCATCTGTAACAGCCTTAGCAACCTGTTCCACCTTTTGTTCAACAGTTTGGTAACTATTAAACAAAAAAATGATATTCTAAGAATCATGCAAAATTACAATACTTGTAAAATAACAAAACATAAATCTAATAAGCAAATTAGAGGCATCAAAAATAAGGGCATGAAATACTTACACGTTACTTTCTTTTACGTTTTTAATGCCTTGGTTCATATCGTCGGAAATTTCTTTCCAAACGGTAATTCCAAGCAATCGCTTTAATTCTGCACTTCTTCTCATTTTGGAGGCAAGTACAGTTCTAAGGGTAGTTATTTCATCTTCAACTTGAGCTAATTCTTTTTTCCACGCTTCCTTTTGCTGCTCCTGTTCTTCCAGAGACAAATTTGAAACACTATCTGCTAAGTTATCCCCACTAGCGGATGCAACGTCTTCTGCAAAGTATTAAATGAATCATTTAATCAAAAGAATTATAACTAATGAAGATACCATCAGAAGTAAGATCTTTTTTAGTCATTTTCTCTACAAAACTTTCTCATTGCAGTGCAAATTTTGGAACGAAGTTTCTTATCGCAAGTAGCAACGGCAGGATGCTGACCAGCAAAAAGCAAAAGTGACGCGAAGCGTTAAACTGTGTCTCACTCTCTCTCTCTCTCTCTCTCTCATTACTCACTATTTGCAGAGGTACTTGTCGAATAGCGGAAGAAACTTCGTCCCTACCGGGTGTCCCATGACATGCAGCATTTTCATGGTTTAACTTACTATTACCTACTTATGGAGAAGAATTTTTAGATACCTATTTAAAACGACTGAAGCGCAACGTCTGCTATTAACTTCTTGTATGGTGACTAAGACAGAAACTATTTCGCCTCAATAATTCATTACCTTTCACTTCTCAAAGTAGAACCACTTTTTATTGCTAACATTTTATAAGAAAGTTTTGTACAATTCTAAACAAATTTTGTATGAAGAAAAATAGACTGTTTAAATAATTCTATATAGACGAAATTATAGTTTCTTGTATTTGTAAAGAAATAAGATGTATCAACCTAGGTATTATCATAAAGCATATTAGTAATATTTATATTTGAATTAAGCAAACTAGCATATACATATTTAGAAAATATAAAAATTAAGTTTCATTTTATTTAACCCTCCAAAAATATTTAAACGTCAATAAAAGGTACCATCACCAATTCAATAGGTATCTTAGACAAACTTACCATTAAGGCTAATATCTAAATATTTTCTAAAATTGCTGTCTTTAGGAAACTTGGCTAAGTAAGGTTTTGTAAGATCACAATATGTTACACGCACATGCCTTTTAAAACCCTTTTTAAAAAAAGCTCTGATAATTGCATTAGCACGTTTAACATTAAAGAATTCTGCTTCGACATTAACAGATTCATCAATAACACCTAATGATGAGAAATTAATGTCATCAAAATCTATAGTTCGTAAATCAAACAGATCTAATTCATTGTCATAAACGTCACTATCAGTTAAATATTCAATATTTTCGAGTTCATCTAGACTTGGGGTTGAAGTACTATCATCTGGATTAAAGTATGGATCTTCTATAAACTCTAAACTTTGCTTCTCTTCTTCCAAACTCATTTTTTTCTCATACTTCAGGGACAAACAACAGCAATAAACACGTTTAACTTCAATGCTCACTTTTTAAAACAATGCAACAAACAATTTTATGCACGACACAGCTGTCATTTCTTCAACTTCTTTTAGAAATCAAAGAACTATGAAGAATACTTTCACCTTGGGGCATATTCTTGCAATCAGCGAATATGCAACCCCAATACATTATTACAACAAACCCCCTATTTTAAATGTAGAATAACAGCTAGGTTTCGGATGATAGGAACGATTAAACTAACATCACAATTGTACTGTTTATATTATTTAAACGTTAACAATTGTTGACACGTATGAATTTTACACGTAACCTATAAATTACATAAAAAAATTTAAACAATATTTCCTCATAATATTTCAAATTTGAATACGAACCTAAGTTTAAAAATGTAATTACAAAAGAACCCTCTAAAAACTCACCACTATTTGGAGTAATGCTGTTCATTGTTGTTTGCTAATTTGTTGATCACTGATATTATTTACTATTAATTGGGACTACTTGACAATAGTAACTACTTACTGAAGGTTTGATTGCATTTACACATTTACATAAAAAACGTGAAGTGTTTTTATTATTTGCTATTATTACTTATCACATTAACGCAACACAATCTGGAAAATACAACATTAATACCACCATAGACAAATTAATACCATAGATAAATTCATATTATAGTCGCAGTCAATGTCAACCTGACACCCAATATAAACAATCCTCTGATTTAAACTTTATGAATAAATTGTGCGTCGTTTGCCGGTTCCAAATATGTAATTGGGGTAATTGTGCGTTCATTAATTTTGTTAGAAAAAGGGAAAATTATTTCGGGTACAGCTGGGAATTCAATGTTTATTTATTCAAGAACTACTGAAGATGTCATAATTTAATTGATGCCAATCAATTGCGCGTCATTTATGGTTGAAGATTAAGTTATTACGGTAAACGGAATTTGTCATTATAATACTTACTACTTATTAGTAGAAAGAGCTGCTGCCCTCTTTCAGGGAATTATCTTAGTCTGGTTTCTATTTAAGAACCCCCCCCCCCATTATGGTTGAACCTATGATCCGGCTCCCTAAATCATCGAAACTCGCAAGCCGCTCCACCCACCGCCACCCACTCTAATTTGTACAAGAGTTTCGTCAACGTTCAAGTTTCGTCGGATCAGGAGGCGATATTAAGTTTAAGAATAATTCATTCTTAGCGTGAAATGTAAGTATCATTTGATTTATGGAACATTTTCACAAAAACACTGAACATGATGGTCGTTTATAAAATATATTCGTAAATAAGGGGAAGAGAGGGCTACTTCTTAGTGTGACGAGATATAAAAAAGGGGCCGGGGGTGTTGTAATTCATGCTCTGCTGAATAGTACCCATACCTACACAAGTGTCGACATTTTTTCTAGCATAAGGCGGCCAACCGTCCCGCATTCTGCGGGACCGTCCCGTAATGACAGTTGAAATCCCGCATTGCAATATTTAATAAAATAGTCCCACAAATCGTCTAAGGCGTCGTATGTCCCGCATTCCTCGTTTCCAAAAAGTCGTCACTAAAAGTAAAAACATTACGTGCAATGCTAATTATAAAATTTAATATGGGCACCTGTGAAAACTTTTTGGACATTTTGAACCAAAACCCAGACCTAGTAAAAATATGCCACTCTTGCGAAAAATATGACTTAAAAAATAAATGTTAACTCAGTAGTAGTGTTGTTTGTTTCTAATTTAAGTACACCACCAACAATTCCAAAAAATCCTCAGTCTTGTTGTTCCGCATTGACTTATTATAAAGTTGACCGCCTTATTCTAGCAGGAAGGCTCCCATTATTTTCTGCTAATATTTCTATGGGAGTGAATGTATCAGTGGTGAACTTTGTAAGCGCCAAGGGCAGATTCGAACACAAATAAACGCCAATAAAATTGTTATAATCGGAACAATTCGTACGTATTTCAGCATCGTAACTATGTTAGGATGTATATGCTTAGGATAATATACAGTTAGAATATGTGGCATAAGAAAATGACAGAGAAATCTACCGTAGCCATCGTCGTTTACTAATGGACATGCCTTAGCGGTCAGAATTGTGGTACAACAAAAGAAAGAGATGGAACGAAGTTTCGGACAATATCCATCTCTCTTACGATAGTGCGTAAGCGTGTCTTGAAAGAGATAGCACTAGTCCGAAACCATACGCCATCTCCCTCACTTTTCGAGCCAAGAAATTATTACAATGATGCGGCTAAGGCACGTCCATTAATATGTATCTTAGCTAAACCTCTTTATCTATGATTCTATGCATAGATGGCATAGATATTAGATTCTATGGTAGAAGTGGCTGAAATGTGGAATGGTGTTAGCTAATTATTTTTTTATACATGGTCATACATGGCCAATAATAATATAAATAAATAAATATATCATAACCGTATCATAAATTCTTAATACCATAATAAAATCAACGATAGGAAATTGATAACAGTTGGTCACTGTTTAAGTAAAAATTTTGGGACTAAAATGAATGTTATTACAAATAGTAGCAAATCTGTAATAACTACAGCAATCCACATACCATTTCCTCAGACATTTCAAAGTGTACGCTGGGCTAGAAAACCAAGATGGTTGGGTACAGCAAAGTCCAAATTATTTAGAATACCACCAAGACCTGTAATACCAAAAGAAGAAGAACTAGAACTGCGAAGGTTAAACAACAATTACAGAACACAAATGAAGTCTATAAGAAATTACTTAACAGAAAGGTACCATGTTAAGTATTTACCAAGCTCTAATGTAGAGCAAATTAGGGAAGATTTTGAAAAAGACTTTGCTCAGTGTAATGAAATAAATACTAAGTGGAATGAAGAAATCAAAGTTTTGAGAGAACAACGAATTGCAGAGGAAATTAACAAAAATATTGAAGAAGCTAAAAAACAACTAAATGAACAAATAATGTTAGACAAAAAAAATTTAGAGAAGGCTGAAGAAGAAGTTCGTTTGGAAAAAGAAGCTGCAAAAGCATTCATTACTCCAGACACACTTGAAGCAGCAATAGAATATGCTGTTAATAATCCAGTTGATTACAACTATGCAATAGATATGGAGGGCAATAAAATAATAGGAAAAGACTTGAACTCATCTAAGCTATAGATTTTTAAGGAAAAATTAACATTAATAAAACCAATTATAAATATTTGTATTGATGTTTATTAAGTGAACAAAGTTTTTACAAATTCCCCACGATCATTGTTGCTGTTGGATATGATTTCTTCTAAACTTACATCACTATTACTCTTCCCAATTTCAATTATTGATTGTTTACTAACTGCACTCTTATTTTTCTTGTCAATATTAGAAGTAAAGAAATTACTTTTCTTTTTGGCAAGTTGTATCTCTGCTCTCAATTTCTGTCTACGTGCTGCTTTTTCATAAGCTAGTCTTTCACTGAGATGAACCCATTTAAAATTAGAAAGGTATTTTATGTTCCATATAAAGTCATAATATCTTGAACTTTTTCTATTACTAATTTGTTGATTATTTAACATTGCTGCAACTTTTTTTGCCACTGATTTCCGTTCAAACTCTATCCAACCTTCAGTAAACTTTTTTGATATTCTTTTTTTTACTTTTTTCTCTCCAGGTTTTGGTTCTAAAATCACACTGTTTAGTCTGTAAAATATTATATAGTACATAATCTAAAAGGAAAGTAATCACATCATATTTACTTTTATCTTCCAATTGAAGATAAACACGCCCCAATTTTCCGAACTGTCCAAATATTTCTCGGATCTGGATAACATTCATATATGGTGGTATAGAAGACAGATAGATAATACCCCTCTTGTGTGGCTTTTTTGCTATATCTTCACCAGAAATTAGATTTTCCATTTCTATTATGTCATTCTAATTTTCAAACAGTTTTCGCAAAGTAAGTAACTTTTGATAACACCTACAGCCCACAGTTAGTCTATTAATCTATGCAGTTGAAGTTAAAATATATTTCCACATTCCAGTTACAAAAACTAATTTGCGTGTAAAAGTAATCCCACAAAACATATACTTATTTTGAAATGAGATTAGATGCCTGCAAGTTGTTTATATCAATTAATCACCACTTATTAAGTAAAACTAAAAAATGAATCGAATGGTGTGGAACTCTTTTGACAGTGTAGCTCTTTTTACTGTTCAGTACAGTTCAGTACATAACCTTATTTTGTAATAACTTTTTTATTTTTTTTTTTTTATAGGAAAGTAAATACATTTTAGTCAACGTTAATATTTGACCAAGTAAATTAATACCTTAGCAGTAAGTATTATCAAAAATTACCTATCTTGATGAAACTGTTTGCAAATGAATTTTTTTCATTTAGTTATTTATTTTTTTAACAAAATGAAGAATAAAACATATATTACAATAAATATAGAGTGATTTACAAAATAAGTGTCGACTTCTGATATAAGTAAAGCGAAGAAGCCATATACTAGTCTAGGCCATATACCTAAGAGAGGAATTGCTTATTTTTCTTCTATATCATCATATTTCAATGTTATCCAGTTGAAGAATCAGATCCAAGAAATTTCTGAGCAGTTTGGGAAGTTTATCTGCAATTAGAAGATAAAGTTTTGCTTATTATTTCTTTCAAATAATATGTGACAAAATATATTACCAAAAAATAAAGTGAGAATATCAAAGAGGTTTAATTAATTGAAGGTTGGATTAAATTTGAACAAAAGATGGTGGCAAAAAAGTCGCAGCGATGGTAAAATAATCACGTTTTATGTAGAAACAGCTGGAGGCATGATTTCATATGAAACATACAATATCTTTCTAAATTTGGTTGGGTTCATGTCATGTCAGTAAAAAGCAGCATACAGGCAGAAACAGAGAGCTAAAATACAATTCACCAGAAACTAAAGTAATTTCTTCCCTTTAAATATTGACAAGAAAAATAACATCGGCTGTGATAGTCAGCCTTTTCATCAAAAATAAAAGAATTAAGGCCTATGTAGCTAGGCTGGTCTCATCATTTTTAGTAATTGTTGTCCTGATTAGAAATATGATTAAATTGAATTCTTAATACTAGATAGAAATAATTTGTTTGTATGTATTTATTAGAATGGTATCAATAAAAATGTGGTAATAATTATTTATAAATGCTATAAAAATTTATAGTACCTTTAGTAAAAGTATGAAAGGATTGGTTGTGGGAGGTAAATGTTG